TTGTGTTCTTTCCAGACTTTTTTCTGATGGTTGATTTCTTGTTTCATAACATTATGGTAAAAAAGAAAAAATTTACATGATGATTTCAATCTTTTTGAATTTGTTGAGACTTGTCCTGCAGCATAATATGTGATCTCTTCTGGAGAATATTCCATGCGTACTTGAAAAGAATGTGTATTCTGCTGAGTGAGAATGGAATGCTCCATATATATATATGCTAGATCTATCTAGTTCTATGTGTCATTCACAGCCAATGTTCTCTGGGCGATTTTCTCTCTGGGTGTTAAAATTCCCTTTATCGTTGTATTACTATTAATTTCTTCATTTATACTTGTTAAATAGGTGCTTATGTATTTGGGCACTTCCGTGTTCGAGACATAAATATTTAAAATTATTATATCTTCTCGTTCGATTGTACTTTTTATGATTATATAGTGTCCTTCTTTGTCTCTTGTGACAGTCTTTGTTTTAAAGTCTATTTTGTCCAACATAAGCACTGCTACACCAGCTTTCTTTTTGCTTCCTTCTGTATGATAAATGTCACTCTGGAGCGCCTGGGTGGCTCAGTCGGTTAAGCATCTGACTTCAGCTCAGGTGATGATCTCAAGGTTCGTGGGTTCGAGCCCTACGTCGGGCTCTGTGCTGACAGCTCAGAGCCTGGAGCCCGTTTCGGATTCTGTATATCCCCCTCTCTCTGACCCTCCCCTGCTCACACTTTCTCTCTCTCTCTCAGAAATAAATTAAAAAAAAATTTGTTTTTAAATGTCTTTCCATCCCTTCACTTTCAACCTGCTTGTGTCTTTAGGTCTGAAATGAATCTCTTGTAGGCAACAGATAGATGAATGCTGCTTTTTTATCCACTCTGTCACCTTACATCTTTTGATTGGAGCATTTAGTCCATTTACATCCAAAGTAATTATTGATGTGTATGTACTTCTTGCCATTTTATTATATGTTTTAGAATTGGTTTTCTGCTCTTCTCTGTTCTTTTCTTCTCTTGCTCTCTTTTCTTGTGGTTTGATGGCCTTCTTTAGTGATGTGCTTGGATTCCTTTCTCTTTATGTTTCTGCATATCTATTGCAAGTTTTTTATTTGTGGCTACCATTAGGTTTGTATATAGCATATATATATTCATATATACAACACAATATACATATGTGCATATAGCAGTCTATATTAAGTTTGAGGTCACTTGTTTGAACCCGTTATAAAGGCACCAAATTTTTACTGTCCTTCTCCTCACTTTTTAGGTATATGGTGTCATACTTTATATCCTTTATTTGTGAATCCTTTGACTAATTGCTACAGATATATTTCACTTTTCTGCTCTCATGCTTTAACTTCCATACCGGTTTTATAAGCAATTAATCTACTACTTTCATTACATGTTTGTATGTAACTGTGAAATTTTTTCCTTTCTTATTTTCCTTACTTCTGCTTATGATCTTTTCTTTCCATTCAAAGAATCTCCTTTAATATTTCTTTAAGGCTGCTTTCATGGTGATGAATTCTTTTAACTTTTGTTTGTCTGGAAAAGTTTATCTCTCCTTCTGTTCTGAATGATAGCCTTGCTAGAAAGGATAATCTTTGTTACAGATTTTTTTCCTTTGAGCACTTTGAATATATCATGCCACTTTTTCCTGGCCTGGAAAGTTTCTGCTGAAGAATCAGCCTCATGGGGATTCCATTGTATGTTACTATGTATGTATGTTTTGTTTTGCTTTGCTTTGTTTTGTATTGTTTTATGTTCTTGCTGCTTTTAAAATTCCCTTTTTCTCACTACATTTTGCCATTTTAATTATTATGTATCTTAGTGTGGACCTCCCTGGGTTGATTTCATTGTAAGTTCACTGTGTCTCTTGGATCTGCATGTTTGTTTCCTTCCCCAGATCAGGGAAGTTTTTAGCAACTATTTCTTCAAATAAATTTTCAGCTACATTTTTTTTCCTCTCTCTTCTCCTTCTCTCTCTGTCCCTATAATGCAAATGTTATTATGCTTGATGGTGTCACTGAATTCCCTTAACCTATTCTCATTCTTTATTGTTCTTTTTTCTTTTTCCTGTTTCATTGGTTTCTTTCTATGACCCTGTCTTCTGGATCACTGACCTTTTCTTCTGCTTCATCGAGTTTACTATTTATTCTCTCAAGTATACTTTTAATTTCAATTATTGTGTACTTTATCTCTGATTTTTTTATTATGTTCTATCTCTTTGTTGAGGTCTCACTGGACCCTCCACTTTTTTCTCAACTCTAGTGTCTTTATGACCACTCCTTTGAATTCTCTATCTGGCAAATTGCTAATCATCATTTTGTTTAGCTCTTTTGCTGTGATTTTGTCCTGTTCTTTCATTTGGGAAAAACTCCTCTGTCTCCTCATTTTATCTTACTCTCTGTGTCTGTCTCTATGTGTCAGGAAAGTCAGCTGTGTCACCTGCTCTTGAAAATAGTGGTCTAGTGGTGCCTGGATGACTCAGTTGGTTGAGTGTCCAACTCTTGATTTTGGCTCAGGTCATGATCTCACAGTTATGATATCAAACCCCATGTTGGGGTGTGGAGTCTGCTTAAGATTTTCTCTCTCCCTCTCCTTCTCCCTTTGTCCCTCCCCTTCTCACACATACACTCTTTATCTCAGAAAGGAAAGGAAAGGAGAAGAAAGGGAAGGGAAGGGAAGGGAAGGGAAGGGAAGGGAAGGGAAGGGAAGGGTGACATTATGAACAAGAGGTCTGGTAGTGCCCTATAGTGGAATGGCCCCTGTGCACTAGAACTCGATGCTTCAAGGGTATTTCCTAAGTATGTTGTATGTGCCCTACTGTTGTGATTGAGATGCTTTGCCTTCAGTCCAGTTGTCTGCAATTGGTCTCTTTGCCTGTTGTGGACATGGTTTCATCCCTGTGATGTTAAGGGGCCAATCTGGGTATGCCTTGAGCTTGAACTGGGTCAGACCAGATGCCTACCTTCAGATCACTAGTAAGAACTGTGGTCATACCCGACTGCAGGGTGCTTTTCCAGCGTTGTCCCCTGAGAAGCTTTCATTGGTGGGTGGAGGAGCCTGTCGTCAGACCAGATGTCTGCCCCTAGTGTGTCTGTTGGGGTTGCAGTGACCCCAACCTGCTGGGCTCCCTCTTTGTGCTGTCCCTTGTAAGGCTTTTGCTGGTGGTCAGGACCAGCAGTCAGATCAGATGTCTGTCCCCCGCCCACTGCAGGGGCTGCAGATGACCTAGTGTGTATGGTTCTCTTCCCCTTTACCCAAGGCAAGAATCACTTTTATGTGGTCCTGGCCACTGCTGGGGCTGCTTACACAATACCACACTTGTTGCTCGGCTTTGGATGGACTCCTGCCAAGTGGAGTGGAGATGTAGGAGACCCAAGGGTGTGCTTCACAGTGTTAAAAAGCTATGTTGCTGGTCTGCTTGTGGGCAGAGACCTGGAGTTGCTTTGGGGCAACTCCTACAGAGAAGGGCAGATTAGATTGGGCAGTCTACAGGAGAATGCAGGGGCAGGGAGCACTGTTAGCAAAGCTAGATGAAGTGTTCATGCTGGTGCCTGCAGGCATCTGTGTATTAGGCTGAGGGGCTGGGGGAAAGAAATGGTACTAACCAGATCCTTTGGTCTTGGAGAAATTTCCCGAAGATTCCTGCCCTTCTTGTGCTTGCTCTGAGACCAGTAAATAAATCTCCTTCCTGAATACCCAGGTGACTCCCAAACTGCTGCTTCTATGGGGTATCTTGGTGAGGTTGTTTGTTGCGCTGATTTTTTAAGGGTGTGGACTCAGTTTCCTAATAACCCTGAGGCTTTCCCTGATTTTTGAGTTTCCGAGGGTTAAGGCCCACTGATTGTAAAAACTCACAGAGTTAAGCCCTTCTAGTTTTCAATGCCAATTATTATGGGATTCGTCTTCCCAATGCAGGTCATCCAGGCCTTGGGTGCCTGGTGTGGAGTCTCTTCCTCTCCCTTCTCTGTGCCTGTAGTGTTCACAGTCTCATGGGTCAGTTTGGTTCTTATTTGAGGGAGTGTCAGTCTGGCTCTTGACTGCATCTCCACATTTTCCGCTGTTATCTGATATGGCCTCGTCTCTAAGATTAACTGTGGAGATCCTGTTCTTCCAGTCTTTGGGTCATTTTCTGGGTTATTTACACTGCTGTGGGTGTTACCTAGGTATATCTGGGGGACAAGGTGAACTTAGGATCATCCTATCTACCATCTTCCCCAGAAGTTCTGATTGGTTTCTTTATTTAAAAAGTATATACATAACAAATACACTTACAGATGTTTATTTTATTTATTTTGTTTAAGTATAGTTCACATATAATATTATTTTAGTTTCAAGTGGACAACATAATGATTTAACATTTAAAATTTTTTTATGTTTTATTTATTTTTGAAAGAGTGAGAGAGAGAGAGAGAGATGAAGCACAACCAGGGGAGGGACAGAGAGAGAGGGAGACACAGAATCTGAAGCAGGCTCTAGGCTCTGAGCTGTCAGCACACAGCCTGACGCAGGGCTTGAACCCACAAACCATAAGATTATGGCCTGAACAGAAGTCAGACATTCAACCCACTGAGCCATCCTGGAGCCCCTCAATGAGCAGTTCTTAAAGTGTTTTACACATATTGTGTAAAATGCTAGTTTCAAAAGACCAATAATGAAAACAGAATACCAATTCTCTTTTACATAATTGGAACCTCACCCTGAGGAACAAGAGATAACTGTAACAGTTGCAGCTTACTGCCTCTCAAGGAATTTATTCAGAGAATTACACTAGAAATAATTTTATGAAATACTTCATTGTGCAATCTTTTCATTCTATTTCAGTAAAATACAAGTGTGAACATTACTTATACTTGAAATTTTACTAAAATGTTAATATGGACTCCTAATTTATTGCAGTTTTGCAATAACCAAGCTATAGAATAAGTTCAACTGTCCATTGGTAGGCGAATGGATAAAAAAGATATGGTATAATCAGACAACAAAAAGAAATAAGAGGCATCCAAACCAATAAGAAAGAAGGCAAATGTAATATTTGTAGACGACGTAATGCCCTATGTAGAAGAAGTTCATCAACAAAACTATTAGAATTGATACATGAATTCAATAAATTTGAAGGATACAAAATCTATGTACAGAAATCTTTTGCATTTATAAAAATATTATTTATTTTTGAAGGGGAGTGCAAGCAAGGGAGGGGCACAGAGAGAGGGAACAAGAAAATATCAAAGGAAGAACTATGCTGCAGTTTGCGACCGCACATTGGCATATCTGTCCGATTTGGAACAAATCCACTTCCTTTCCGTATAATGCCTCGCACTGCTGGCACCTTTGTCATTCAAATAAGCACACTCTCCTCCTCCCCTGATTGGAAAACTGCAATGCAAGAAGGAGAACCAATCAGTGGGCCACTGGATCGTTCTTTAAAAGCAGAGGGAATAGGGGCGCCTGGGTGGCTCAGTCGGTTAAGCCAGGTCAGATCTTCAGCTCAGGTCAGATCTCATGGTTTGTGGGTTCAGCCCCGCATCAGGCTCTGTGCTGAAAGCTCAGAGCCTGGAGCCTGTTTTGGATCCTGTCTCTCTCTCTCTCTCTCTGACCCTCCTGGACTCATGCTCTGTCTCTCTCTGTCTCAAAAATAAATAAACTATAAATTTTTTTAAAAAATAAAGCAGAGGGAATAAAGATGAGAAAATTAGGAGACTAACATTAATTCAGCCTCTAAATATAAGAGGCATTATCCATAGTCTCTCTTTAGTATTAAAAATTACCCTGTGAGATATATATCGTCACTTTTTATAGCCGGCAGGGGGAGTGGATTGGGGGCAACAAACAAACAAATGAAACTAACAGAGTTTCCCAAGAGTCCCTAACAAATAAAACCAGGATTCATGACTTAATCAATGAAAACGCAGGGCCCAGGCTATTCCCACCTTCTTCACTTTGGGAAAGAGGAGAAGGAAGAAATGCTGCTATTTCACAAGTAATTTTTTTGTTCTTCTTCTTTCTAGGCCCTGATCTTCTGTGGTCTACTCAGCATTTAAGCGGCCTGACTCAGACATCTGGGTCAGCATTTAGACTAGAAGTTTTCCCCCTTTACTCTTTGAAATTGCTCAGTGTGACATGATTTGCCTTTTGTTAAGACGTGCCAGCCCTTACTAAGTATATTTTTCATGTCTATAGTGATAAACAATTTTCAACAACTTAGTTAACACTGTTTACTCCTTTAAACACTAGAGAATTAGATGAAGTAAACATTATGGTTTCAGTTTTATAAAGGAAGAAGTAAAGTTCATCCTATATGTTTATCAAGCATCCACAGTGTGCTAGGCACTGCAGATACAACAGTGTATAAATATAAGCTCTAATTCCTAAAACTTTGTATCTGTCCACGATCAAAAAGCGAATAGGTAAGATCCAGTTGTCAAACTTACCAATGTCTGGTCCAGTGCTCTTTCCAATATATTTGGTCCTTTAAACACTAGGTATGGGTACACTATGATACAAATATTGCTATCATATTATTCAGGACTTACCAGCTGGTGAATTCAGTGCCATTTACCCATTTCCATGGCTGGCCTTGTTCTCTGCTGAGCCCGATCCAGTGGTCGAAGAGGCCTTTATATCGCATTAGGAAATCCTTTCAGAAAACAAAGAGGATATGCATTAACTGGACATTGTCTGGCCTCTGCCAGAAGAAATGTTGTTTCTATGCTATATTCTTAACTGTTTTTATAAGTTTCTTCTTTTTAATTTTGTATTGTTTAATAATACATAGAGAATAGATATGCTATAGTAGCACAGGCAAATGAGTATTAAAACAGAGAAATTGCTGATAACTTGTTTGCTTTTAATTCAGGCTAGTGCCACCTTGTATTACCACTCCATCATTTGTTTATCTATTCTATTATTGGTTTCCACTAGTATTATTTCAAGTTTGAAGTTATTATGAATGCTGTCATGACTCGTGACACCTGTCCTGGAATGAATGATTAGGCCACAGTAATGGTTATTGTCAATTTTACCAAATGACATCGAACTCTTTTAGGATGCATTGTAGCAAATTATATTCATACCATCATTGTAGTTTTCCATGCTACACATCCTTGTCAACACTTAGAGTGTCTTTTTGTGATTATAAGTATTAATTTCAATACAACAAAATGTATAATATTCCTTTATGATTATGGATTTGATGACTTCTCAGGGAAATTCTTACTCTTTGGAGATGACATTTATTTTTTCTCTTTCTTTTTTAGTTCCTTGAGGTATGCAGTGGGGTTATGGACTTTAGATATTTCTTTTTTTTTCTTTAAGGTATGCATTTACAGTTGTAAATTCCCACTTTGTATTGCTTCTACTGCATACCATAAGTTTTGGTATGTTACCAAAAACTTATGTTTTGCATGTTTTCATTTCATTTGTTTCAAGGTATTTTCTAATGTCCCCTGTGATTCCTTTTCTACTCACTGAATATTGAACAGTGGGTTGGTTAATTTCTACATATTTCTGAATTTTCCAATTTTCCTTCAGCTGTTGATTTCTAGTTTCATTCTATTGTGTTTACAGAAGGAACTTGGCATGATTTCAATCTTTTCAAACTTATTGTTTTGTGACCTATCATATGAACTATCCAGAAAAATGTTCCACACACACTTAAGAAGAATATGTACTCTGCTGTTCTTGGGAGGCGTTCTCTGCAGGTTTTTTAGGTCTAACCGGTTTGCAGTGCTGCTCAAGACTTGTACTTCTTCACTGTTCCTTTTCTGGTTGTTCTATCCATTATTTAAAAATTTTTAATGTTTATTTATTTTTGAGACAGGGAGAGAGACAGAGTGTGAGTGGACAAAGGGCAGAGAGAGAGGGAGACCCAGAATCTGAAGGAGACTCTAGGCTCTGAGCTGTCAGCACAGAGCCCGACACAGGGCTCGAACCCACAAACCGTGAGATCATGACCTGAGCTGAAGTCTGACACTCGACCAACTGAGCCACCCAGGTGCCCCAGTTCTATCCATTATTGAAAGTGGAATCATTAAGTCTTCAGATATTATTATAAAACTATCTATTTCTCATTTCAATTCTATCAATTGTTCCTTCATACATTTGGGGGCTGTGAGTACTATATGTTCATAGTGGTTATCTCTTCTTACTGTAACAAAATTTTTATCAAGATGTAATATTCCTTCTTTGTCTCTTGTAAACTTTCTGCTTTTGTCTATTTTGTCCAACAAGAATATAGTCACACAGCTTTATTTTGTTTACAGTTTTCATGTCATATCTTTTTCCATCCTTTTACTTTAAACTTCTTTGTGTCCTTATACCTATGGTGAGTCTCTGATAGCATAGAGATGGATCTTGCTTTGTTTTTAGCCTACTGCCAGTCTCTGCTTTTTAATCAGATAGTTTCATCCATTTGCATTTAATGTGATTCCCAATGAAAGACTTATTTCTACCATATATCTGTTTATTTTTATATGTCTTATGTGGTTTTTATTCTCAAATCCTCTATTATTGCAAATTTTTTTAGTTGAGTTTTTGTAAGTACTGTTTTTATTCCCTTTTTCTTTTTCTGTATATATTTTAGTAATTTTATTAGTGGTTACCTTGGGGATTGCAATTAACACTTTAAACATCTAACAACCTAGTTTATAATGTGGACTTGGTTTCAATGGCATATAAACATTTTGCCCCTATACATCTCCAACCCTCTCTTTATAATATTGTCATAGACTATATATGTATATGCTATATGCTCATTAACATAGATTTATAATTATTGAATTATGACTTCACCTGCTAAATCATATATGAAAGGAGAGAAGTTACAAACTAAATGAAAAGTATAGTAATTCTGGCTTTTGTATTTATCTGTGTGGTTACTTTTATGAGTAGTTCTTTATTCTTTTGGCTCTGAGTTACTTTCTAATGTGCTTTAATTTCAGCCTTTATCATTGCTTATAGGATGGGTCTACTGATAAGAAACTCACTTAGCTGCTGTTCTTCTAGAAGTATCTTAATTTTTTTCCCATTATGAAAGATAGTTTTGACAGATACAGAATTCTAGACTGGCAGGGCTTTTTTTTTTTAGGATTTAAAATATGCCATTCCACTGCTTTCTAGATTCTATGGTATCTCAGGATAAGTCAACTAGTAACCTTATTGAGGATCCTAGGTACATGCCTCGTCCCTTTCTGCTTTCAACTTCTCTTTAGGCTTTGACTCTCATTTGTCTTAATGTAGTTTTCTTTGGATGTATCCTTCTTGGAGTTTGTTGAGATTCTTAGACATGTATATTCATATCTTTCCTCAACTTTGGGAAGTTTTTGGCCATTATTTCTTTACATATTTTTTCTACTTATTTTCTTTTCCTTCTAGGAGTCTCACCATGCATATGTTGGTTTGCTTGATGACGTACTATAGTTCCTTTGAGATCTCTTTCTTTGTCATTATTTTTAAATTTTCTTTCTATTCCTAGACAAGATTCTTTAAGTTTTCTTATCTTCAAGTTTGCTGACCCTTTCTATTTTTTTAAAAATTTTTTAAATGTTTTTTTATTTATTTCTAGGAGAGAGAGAAAGAGAGACAGCGTGAGCAGGGGAGGGTCAGAGAGAGAAGGAGTCACAGACTGAAACAGGCTCCAGGCTCTGAGCTGGCAGTCAGCATAGAGCCTGACGCGGGGCTCGAACCCACGAACCGCAAGATCATGACCTAAGCAAAAGTCGGACGCTTTACCGACTAAGCCACCCAGGCGCCCCTGCTGGCCCTTTCTTCTTCTTGCTCAAATATGCTTTTGACTCCTCTAGGGAGTTTTTCTTTTCAATTATTGTACTTTTCAGGTCTAGAATTTCTACTTGGTTCCTTTTAATAATTTCTACCTCTTTGGTGACAGTCTCATTTTATTTATATACCATTTTTTCTGATTTCTTTTACTTTTTCTGTCTATGGTTTCCTTTAGCTCACTGAACATATTTAATACAATAGATTTAACATCTTTGACTAATATTTCCAATGTCTGGGCTCCTTCAAGGATGGCTTCTGTCAAATATTCCTTCCTGTGAATAGGCTATGGCTTCCTATTCCTTTGTATGTTTTGTAATTTCTTTGTTCAGAACTGGACATTATGCATACTCTATTGTGTTAACTTTGGGAATATACTTCTTTTCTTCAGAGATTGTTGAAATTTTGATTATTGTGATTCAAAGGCATCTGGTTATGACTTTTCCAAACAATTTTTACAAAATGTCTATTCCCTACGGTGTGTGGTCACTGAAATTTCTATTCTGTTATTTCTATGGTCAGCCAGTTACCTGCCAGGGTTTTCTTAAATGCCTAGATCCCCAAAGGGGGGAAAAACAAGTACTGTTTCTTTAAGTGCTTTGAAAATCACTTCATTTGGTAGGAGTTGAAGAAGAAAAATGGCAGTCCACCTCTTTGTCTGCCCTTCAACAATGAAAAGCAGCAGTCAAAAGTAACACCACATAACCACAGTATTTGAAGCACCACATTCTTATTGACCATCCTGGCTCCAGCAAGCTTTACCAGATACATGGCCAGGAGGCCCCATGATTCCCAGACATGATGGTGGGGAATGTTAGCTGCTCAGTGGGAAGGCTGAAATCCATGGAGATTAAGGTAAATTTACTAACCTCTGCATTAAGTTATCCCTTGGTTGCTGCAAGACTCCAGAGTTCCAGATCCATTACTTGAGAGAGTTTCTACCAGTCCAATAGCTGTTCAGGTGTAGGTACAGATTTCAGAGCTTCCTACTCTGCCATCTTCTCTGACATCACTCCTGCCTGATTTATTTTGAAGCAATGTTAACTTAATTCAGATTTAAAATCATGTTTCCCTCTCTAATTTTCTAATTCTATTTGCACAGTTCTTGCTCAGTAGTCAAAGAAAGCCCTGGGTTGCTCTCTGGCCACTTTCCTGCTATGAATGTTAAGGTAACTTGTAGGTGATTCACTGCAGAATGTAACACCTACTGGTTTTTCTCTCCTTATGTTAAAAAAATCAATGTCTAGGTAAGTGTCTAAACTGGTACCTTAGACATTCTCCATAGAATTATGTAGTGTATAGGTGGGGCACATGATTTTATTGTAGACAGAACTATTTTCTTACCAGTTCCTGGAGGGTTTCAACTTGAGCAAGATCAGCACCGTGTGACTTACAAAACCTCTGGCTGAATGTCCAATTTTTGATGTCATCAGAAAAATAGAAACACTTTCTTTGGAAACCAATCCAGTCTTCTGGGCATGCAGGTTCAAAGCACTCTGATGGTGTTTCATGGGATCGTCTTCCCCTTACTAAAAATAAAAACAGCTGACTTACATTTTCCTGTATACATTAGCAAGTGCTTTCTAATACACTGTTCAATAACTGTGTGAACTGCTAAATATATAATCCTTATTTTTCAAACAAGGAATACGATTCTGAAGGTCACTGTGTATATCACACAGCAAATGTCAAAGCTGAGATTCAAACTAATGCCTTAGTTAGTGGATGAGTTGAAAGAATTAATGATGTCTTAAAATCTGGACCATAGACCTGTCTACTTGGATTTCAACAATGCTACCTTTCTTAAAATACTAGGTACATCAATAGCAACATTTTATCACTCTTAGATAATAGACAGTTCAAGAGCTCTAGATGCCTTCCTCAATAAAAAGAGAGACGGTATAGATACCTTTTGTGAATAGAGTTTCTAGAAATGAAATGGCCAGATAGATATGTAAAGAGTCCCATGATGATGAAAGAAGTAGTTTTACCCTGAGCAGCCTTCTACTAAGGAAGTTTTGTGAGGCTCTCTCTATTTTGAAGCTGACAGGACCCCATTGGGTAGGCTTTTCTGATACACTTCCCATATAACCAGGAGAGATGCTCTCTGCAGGTGAGATTGAAAACAAGAAAAGTCTCCCCAGGTGACCTTTACTGATTTACTAGTAACCAACTCCTTTATTTCTATACCCATTTTCTCTAATTAACCTCACAGCTTCTTTATTAAATAAGTAATGTTAATTTAAATCCCCATGGCTTTATTTTTGCACTATTATACAGCCAGTTAGTCGCATTGATAGTCCCTCTCTTTGCTTTCTCTCTCTCTATCTGATTTGCTTGTTTCATGTATTTGTGTTGTAGAAGTAAAATCAAATCTTTGTCCCCAACTTTCAGACTAGACAAGAGACTGCTACATATGTTGACCAAATTCAAACAAGTCTTCCCTCTTTGTATGTGTTTTGCAAAGTTCGAGTTTAGGCAGAGAAAGTGATAAGTAATCACTCTACTCAGGGCTGCTGTCCCGAGGTGATCCTAAGCAAATATCACACTGAGAAATCTTTAAACTGAGGATGACCACAATGGATTAATGATCACTTTTTCTACCTTCTCTTTATCTGTAACCTTATAACATTTCCATTAAAGATGATAACGGTGGTAGTGATGCCACTTATGGTAATAAAATAACAGCAAACAGTTTATTTTTTATTAGGTGCATCCAATTATCCAATGCATCCAATTATTTAATCCTGATTATTTTTCTTTTCTTTTTTTTTATTTTTTTTAATGTTTTTTATTTTATTTCTAGGAGAGAGAGAGAGAGAGAGAGACAGCGTGAGCAGGGGAGGGTCAGAGAGAGAGGGAGTCACAGACTCTGAAACAGGCTCCAGCCTCTGAGCTGGCAGTCAGCACAGAGCCCGACGCGGGGCTCGAACCCACGAACTGCAAGATCATGACCTAAGCGAAAGTCGGACGCTTAACGGACTAAGCCACCCAGGCGTCCCAATCCTGATTATTTTTCAATACACTAAATTTGCAATTACTTACCCGTTACCTTTCCACTTTAGAGTTAAAGATAAATTCCACGTCTCTTGTCTATTAGTGGCCTTTTGCACCCAGATACTTAAAAGCAGAGAAAGAATATACCATACGATTTCACTCTTATGTGGAATTTAAAAAACAAAGCCAAAGGAATGAAAGAAAAGAGACGAACAAAAAACAGATTTTTAACAATGTTTATTTATTTATTTATTTATTTATTTTGAAAGAGAATGTGTTCACACGCGTATGTGCAAGGAGGGGCACAGACAGGGAGAGAGAGAATCCCAAGCAGGCTCTGTGGACACAGGGCTCCATCTCACAAACCGTGAGATCATGACCTGAACCAAAATCAAGAGTCAGATGTTTAACTGACCTAGCCACTCATGCGTCCCCCCAAAACAGACTCTTAACTATAAGAAACAAACAGATGGTCACCAGAGGGGAGCTGAGTGAGGACATGAGTGAAATAGGTGTAGGGGATTAAGAGTGTATTTTGCTTAGGGCACCTGGGTGGCTCAGTCAGTCGAGTGGCCCACTTTGGCTCAGGTCATGATCTCACAGTTTGTAAGTTCAAGGCCCGCATCAGGATCTGTGCTGACAGCTCAGAGCCTGGAACCTGCTTCTGTGTCTCTCTCTCCCTCTGCCCCTCCCCCCTGTCTAAACATTAAAAAAAGTTTTTTAAAGAGTGTATTTAGTTTGACAAGTACTGAGTAATTTTAGAACTGTTGAATCACTCTATCGTACACTTGAGTTAATATAACACTATCTCTTAACTATACTGGGCTTAAAATAAAAATTAAAAATAAATTAATAAAATCAGACTTTTTTCAGCTAAAAGAGTCTATATAATCTCTTACCAACACTAGAGGGAAGTCACAGATTTCAAAATTTCTGGTATGACTGGATAATAGCAAAACTCACAGTCCAAGGGAAGGCACTATTAAGTTCATTTACATGTCAACCATGTTGAGTGGTTTGTATCACAGGGCTCAGATTAGTTTTCTGTCAAAATAATATGAAAAATTTAAAAACAAGTAAAACTATAGTAGTCCACCTAGGACTGAAAATTAGTCCTTCACATATCACAGTCACATAGTGACTATACAGAACATACAAAAAGAAAACCAAAATGATTTAAAAAGAAAAGTCTCTGTCTACTTTATCTACTGGTTTAGTTTATTAATGCTCATAAGCTTATGAGGTGGATTGATGTATCATGTCCATTTTTACAGATGGAGAGATTACGAATAGATGTTTAAGTAATTTTCTAAAATTTCCACAGTTCATGCTCGCAGATTTGAGATTTGAATCCAGAGAGTTTGGTGGTGAAAATGTGTATGTGCCTTATTACTAGACTGCACTACTCTCTTTTAGAAGGAACAATCCTTATCCAAAATTCTAGTATGGATAGTATGATTAGAGAAGTTGGAAAATTGGAAAAGGAAGCCTAGATATTTAAAATTGTATTCAAAATGTAAAATATTAGAAATGTATGCAATCAGTGATCATCTATTGAACACTTATTCTGTTCCAGATACTAAGCTAGGGACTAAGGATATAGAAAAAAAAAAGGTTTTTCCCCCCTGAAGTTGCTCACAGCAAATATAAAAAATGCACATACAAATTAATAATTATAACCCTCAGATAACAAATGCCATGAGAACTTAGGGGTATGACCAGTATAAATTAATATATTATTCTTGAAAAATGGAAACACTTTATAAATTTGTGTGAACATATACCTGCTTTAAAAGGGAGTAAATTCTAATGGATCCAAAATAATTAGATCAGAGTCTTGCCTTTGCCCTATATGAAATGTATGACTTTGGGACAATTATTCAACCATTTCTGATTTTCATCAGATTTCATTACATGAAGGATTTGTATGATTTTAGGAAATTTGAAATTTTTAGCAACATACAGATTCCAATATTATTTTAACTAAAAATAATTTGAGTTTTCTAACAAATAACAATATTCATTGTATACTAACTGTGCTCCAGACATTGTCCAAGTTCAATCATCTACAAATATATTTAATTGTTTCAACAACATTAAGTAAACTGAAGCACTGAGAGGGTATTAGAGCTCTCCAAGTTTACAAAGCTACACCAATGAAAGAGCTAGAATTCAAACCCAAGCCATCTAAATCCAGGATTTTTACTCAAATTTGTGCTTTTAAACTCTATACTCTGATTAACCTATTATTTGACCAGCAATTTGGTGACCAAGAATTTAATAAAGGATTAAGAAGTATGTGATTAGGTGTGAAAAGAATTAAAAAAGACATAAAAATATAGAAGGACACAAACATATATTTTAAACAGTTATTACTTGCATTTGAGTTGAATCATGGATTTTGTTTTCTATGACTCAAGGGCATAATTTTCTGATATATATGTATAAATATATATAGTAAAACTACATGATAAAAGGCCTAGCAATAACATAAGTTAAAGCACAATATGACTGGCAATTGGGTTCTACCTTTTGCAAACTATGGTCATTCTCTTAAGTTTGTAATAATATAACCCCTATATTACACAATTAAAATCTTAGACCCCACTTATAAGGTTACTGGAATTTAACTTAATTGGTGAAATGAAAAAAAAAATAGGAACTGTAAAGAACAGGAAAATTATCACTAAGTGCCTTCTTCTTTTGGAAAGTGAACTTCTCTAGATGAACAAGATTACAATTTACTTACCAGAAATAAAAATAAACAGCATACATAATAAAATTATGGAGATTATGATTATGAGGGAAACAGCTAGAATCTTTTTAATGTCAGTAAAATACTTTTTTGAAAGCAGAGAACCTGGAAAAAAAGAATGAAGAACACATTTTTCTTTAGGTTTTGTTTTGTTTTGTTTTTTTTACATTAACTGCAGAACACCCATCAGACTCCTAGAACCATTAATCATCAAAATGTTACTTCCTCTTCATTCCTTCTCACTAGAGGGGACAATTAGCCTGTCATTCTATGAATTTGCAATTTTGCCTCTGGAGTTTACTTGCTCACAGAAGCACTGCTCTTAACACACAAGCCATGAAGTAGCTTTGCACCCCTTCCAAAAACTAAGTACAAATCTCATTCTACTTACAGACCCAGCTACCAATTTAAAAGAAATGTAAGAGAGATTCATGTTAATTAAATGACAGGAATAAAATCAGCAAACTTCAGACTATTGGAAATTCTACATAATAAAGTATCTTAAATCTTAAAAAAAAACTGTGAAAAGCAAATTTTGAAAAGTAATCATAGGGGATTTTTGGTTAAAAGGGATTTAAAGGCTTTTTATTTAAGTCAAAATTAAGGTGAGAAAATGATCCTCATAAAAGTCAACTTAGTGTTATTCCTAAAGAATGCCTAGAGGGCTTCTGAGGTGGATGCCAAGTTTCTTTATCTAACAAAGACAGTATTTTCTTTATTGAGAGAGAGAAAAGGAAGGAGAGAGAGAGTGTGTTTGAGCAGAGATGGGGCAAAGGGAGAGGGAGAGAGAATCCCAAGCAGGCTACACAATCAGCATGGAGCCCAATGCAGGCTAGATCTCATGACAGTGGGATCATGATCTGACCAAAGTCACAGCTGCCCAACCAACTGAGTCACCCAGGCACCCGAGAAAAAGATAGCATTTAACAAGAATGCTCACCTTAGAATAATTCATTAAGCTGTATAAGTGTTTTGTACAATTTTCTCTATTTGTGTTGTATCTCAAAACATCCTATATTATCTGAAACCTGTTGTAAATATTTTTTAATGTTTATTTATTTTTGAGAGAGATAGCCTGAGCAGCGGAGGGACTGAGAAAGAAGGGGACAGAGAATCTGACGTGGGCTCTGTGCTGACAGCAGAGAGCCGGATGTTGGGCTTGAACTCATGAACCATGAGATCATGACCTGAGTCAAAGTCAGAAGCTTAACTGACTGAGCCACGCAGGTGCCCCTAAACCCTCTTGTAAATTTTGTTGTTGGAACTTTCTTTAGAGCCCATCAGTTGGCCACCATACACACGTTTAGCTACTATATGTTCCTGGCTAGGGGCCCCTGGGTGGATAAGTTGGTTAAGTGTATGACTTGGGCTCAGGTCAAGATCCCATGGTTCATGGGTTCGAGTCTCATGTAGGGCTCTGTGCTGACTGCTTGAACCCTGGAGCTTGCTTCAGATTCTGTGTCTCCCTCTCTCTACTGCCCCTTCCTGGCTCACACCCTATCTCTCTCTCAAAAAATAAATAAACATTAAAAAATTTTTAAGATGTTCTTGGTGATACAGACATATTTGCCTCTAACATTCTCTCCACACTAGAAAATTTTTCATTAATTTTTCCCAGAATAACCAATGGTTGATGCACACACAGGAAAGATCTAAATACACTACAAAGGATCCAAAAACTGAGTTGACATTGGAATTAAAGCCTACAGAATGCTTGAACTAGCCAGAGTAATTGCCTCCTAAAACCAAAAATACCCATATACTCCAAAAATGTAAACAAAGTCAAAATTCTTATAACAAAATGTTTGCTCAAAGTGTGCGGATTGCATTCAAGAATTATTCACCATATGAATAACCATGTGAATTTCAACAAACATGGGCAAAGACAATCAACAGAAGCCAATGCTGAGATGACAGATGTTGGAATCATCTGACATATACTTTAAAGCAGCTATTATAGAAATATTCAAAATATCAAATGAATAAAAAAATAAATGAAGTCATTTAACAAGAATTAGAAATCATCTTTTCCTCATCTGAACTCCTTTTTCCTCTGAATTGATGACTTTTATCAAAGACAAAAGTTTTTTTTCAGTCCTAAATTATGACACTTCAATTTTCTTCAACTGGTACAAAATACTATTTTTTTCACCTATTAAATCATCATATAAAGCCTCAAATACAAGTGGTTTTTTAAAGTTTCAAGCTTCATATATATGTATGATATATATATGAGATTATAAGTGTATAATTATTATATGTGTATAACTATTATATGTGTATGACATAAACATATAATATACACCTATATATACACACATATATACATACATATATATGCATATATATACATATAATATATAATATATACATACACATATAATATTATGTATTATAATACACACACACATATATACACATATACACATATAATATATAATATATACATACACATATGTGTGTGATATTATATATACATAATAAATACATATATAATATATGTTGCATATATGATGATACATGCATAATACATATATCATACAAATATAACACATATATAATACATATAATATTAGAAATATATAATACATGTATAATATATACATATATAATATATACATACACATATTATGTGTATATAATATTACATGTGTATAATATATACATGTATGATATTTAGTGCATATAATATAATAATTATACATGTATTGTATAGATACACAAACATAATATATATTATACATACATAATATTATAAATATATAATACAACTATAATTCCATTTGAATGCTATACTATTTTTCCATTGACTTCGGTTTACTTTTTTTATTTGTTAAAGAACTGTATACTGTTTACCTTTTCTTTACTTTTTATTTCTGTCTTTCCTTTGAGCTTCCATGATAGATTTTCTACCTCATTTTATTTATTTGTTTGTTTATTTATTTATTTAGTTAGTTTTAGAGAGGGAGAGAGAGCAAGAGGTAGAGGGAGAGATCAAGAATCCCAAGGAGGCTTCATGCTAGGCATAGAGCCCAACATGGGGTTGGATCTCACAACCCTCAGGGCATGATCTTGGCCAAAATAAAGAGTCAAACACTTAACTTACTGAGCCACCCAGGCACTCTTATTTTCTATCTTATTTAGTAATGATAAACCTTACATCTGTATAACACTTTAAAACATGTATTGTTGTCAGTGAAAATAATTTCTCTTAATAGTTATTAATTTTTAATTCCACAATTTAATTTTTAATTTAAATTAAAAATTTTTAATCTTTAATGTTTATGAACTGATATTTATTAATAAATATTAATATATGTATATTTCAGTGAGATTAACTTTTAAATTTTTATCTTCAATCCTAAAGTTAACCTGATTCAATTCTCTGACATGTTTCTCTTACAGTTCTCTCTCCTTATTTGTTAGGACAAGTGGTACTCAAGCATCAGCATATTTTTACACAAATTAAAAATCAATTTATAACCTCTAGCATTCCATCCTCACCCTTGAAAACTCTTTTTAAAAAGACTGTCAATCATCTTCCCTGTGCAGACACTAGACCCCATTACTGCCATTATCTTACCACCCTGATTTCCATATATGCTGTAGACAGACCAGCTTCTTGGCTTCCCCAGCAATTCAACGGGCACAGAGCCTTTCTCCACACAATCTCTGTCATGCATTTTGCCCCTACATTGCAGTGAAATGAAACAGTCCACAGCGTCCGTTTGCTTCAGAATGTCTCAAAACCGAGACAAAACCTCATTATTTCGGTTTAGAACTTCCTGATTTTCAAATGCCTCATAAAGAGGCACACTTTGAATCAGAAAGCAACTTGCCCCAGCAGAGTAGGTGGGTGTTTGTGAAACTTTTTAAAAAAAAATACAGGAAAGCTAGTCAGTTTAGTTGAAATATTTGAGCATTAACAGAATTACTGCTGTGAAGATAAAGTGATTGGTTCTCAGAGGCAGTAAGTGTTAGGCACATAAAAGTGACAGCAATCCAAATCTCAAATTAAAACCTATTTCAAGAACTCATTCTCCTTTAAAAAAAAAAAAGTTTTTAAATCCAGAATATTGCGGCTTTTCCAGTTAACCCTGAAACTCTCCAATACTTTAAAAGAGGCTTTTCTCCATTGACTTACAAGAGGTTGCTCTTGTTTTGGGTTTGGTTTTGTTTTTATTCTCTGAATCCACCTCTTCTAGTTCTCAGCTTAAGCGTAGTGTCTCTCAACTTGTAATACCATCGACAGAGGTAAATATGAATTGTCAGGTTTACCCTTTTTGTAGTTTTTCATGATTTTGGCATCAAAGAGGACAGAAAGTGAACCTTGAGAGATTTCACGCTATTTTGGAATTCCTACACAGCAGAATTAATAACATCACTTTTACTATTATTATCATGGCATGATAACAAAACACTACAGTTTATTATCCCTTACCATGATCTAGGAACACTGACAAAAGATTTAAATATGTGTTCTCGTTTAACTGGTGCCACTAGATAATGGGGTTGACATTATTACTTTTATTTTATTTTATTTTTATTTTTTAATTTTTTTAATGTTTTATTTATTTCTGATAGAGAGAGAGACAGCATGAGCAGGGGAGGGTCAGAGAGAGAGGGAGACACAGAATCTGAAGCAGGCTCCACGCTCTGAGCTGTCAGCACAGAGCCTGACTCAGGGCTTGAACCCATGACCCGTGAGATCATGACCTGAGCTGAAGTTGGATGCTTAACCAATAGAGCCACCCAGGCACCCCTATTACTTTTATTTTAAAATGAGCTCCTCAAGTAAGGACAAAGGAATTTGTCTAAATTCACAGTTACTGAAAGACGCCATGATTAAATGATCTGACTTAGGAAAGAATTTGAAACTCATACTCTCCACAGTCAGTAAAGATCAAAAGTTGACTTTGTTAGTCATAAAGTTACCCAAAAAATCTCTCAGTTTCTATTTCTGAAATAGCGCCTCTTAACGTAGTCAGTGTGAGAGAACCATAAAAGGTTGTGTGAAAGAACATGGCCTTTGGAGCAAAATACTCTCAACTTAGACACAATTCATATAGCCTGGTAGTTGTTTAACTTTCATTGTATATAGTAGGCAGAATATTGGCCCCTCAAAGATTCCCTGTCCTAATACCTAAGCCCATGGATATGTTACCTTACATGGAAAAGATTTTAAAATGTCTTTAAGAGGGGCGCCTGGATGGCTCAGCCAAATAAGCATCCAACTCTTGATTTTGGCTCAGCTAGTGATCCCAGGCTTATGGGATCGAGGCCCTCGTGGGTCTCCATGATGAGCATGGAGCCTGCTTGAGATTCTCTCTCTCTCTCTCTCTCTGTCCCTCTGTCCTATTCACTCTCTTTCTCCCGCTAAAATAAATTATTAATTTAAAATAAAAAAATGTCTTTGAAGATGTGGTTAAGAATCTTGAGATGTGGTGTATATATACAATGGAATATTACTCAGTGATCAAAAAGGAATGAAATCTTGCCCTTTGCAACAATATGGATATAATTAGATGTATTATGCTAAGCAAAATGAGTCAGTCAGAGAAAGACAAATATATGATTTCACTCATCTGTGGAATTTATGAAACAAATTAGATGAACATAGGGGAAGGGAAAAAAGAGGGAAGCAAACCATAAGAGACCTAACTATAGAGAATAAACTGAGGCTTGCTGGAGGGGTGGTGGGTGGGGAATGGCCTAACTACCCACATCCAAACTGGTAAGAAAAGCTGACAACACTCTTTCACCATAACCCCCATCCTCTCTACAGTGGCATATAATCAGGAGGGAATGACCAACTCCCAGATTCTCCATGAGGAGCAAAGCGTTTGGACTGCACATTCAGTATCCCAACTTCACAAGGTGCTCCCTAAAGGGCTGGCTTCTAACACAGCTGTCTTGAATTGCTAATGAACAAGAGGTACACTAATCTCCTGGGAACTACAGAGGACTAAGGGGCCACTTTGAAAGAGCAAGAAGGCATCTCCCACAGCTCTTCAGTTCAGTGCCGAGGCAGTAAAGTCCCTTGCCAGCTTTTCATTAAAAGGAGGTGGACCACACAAATCACACGACCACTTTGCCTGCTCAGTTTAATATGCTACCATCAGTGTCTAACTTGCCAGTTTCAGAAAGCTAACAAGGCCAAAACAATACTAATTCTGATGGAGGCTGCCATACTCTAAACTCCTGGGGGTCACTAAGAACAAAGACAAGGGTTTAATGAACATCGAAGTTTAAAATACTGAGACTTCCAGAAAGAATGGTGGCATGGGAGAATCTGAAGCTCACCTCGTCCCACTGGTAACCTAAATAACACCCACATCAGTGGAACTAACCTAGAAAATGACCCAAAGACTTGCTGAACGGACTTTCCACGCTTACTCATAGAGAGGAAGCCACACCAAAAATGGAAGAAAGGCTGGAGACTGGCTGGGAACCAAACTAACTTGCAAGGCTAACCACACAAGGGAAGTACACCATAAGCATGGAGAAGGGAGGGGAAGAGGCTCACACCAGTCACCCCAGACAAGGGGAACTTGCACTGAGAAGATGAATCCCCATCATGCTTGCCTTTGAAAATCACAGGGGCCTAACTTCACAAGTTTTTATAATAATCAGCAGGGCTTAACACCAGAAACTTTAAAAATTAGCAGGTTTGGCTCTGAGGGAGCTTGAGGGTGATAGGGAAACTGAGTCCTAACCCTTAAAGAAACAGCATCACAAGGAACCCCATCTAGATAGATCTAGCATCAGAGCAGCAGTTTGAAAAGCATAGCATATGGGGTATGCAGGAAAGTACATTTATTTTCTGCTCTCAGAGCATGTATGGGGGGGGCAGATATCTTTGGGACACTTCTCCAAGAGCAAAGGAGCTGGCTGGCGCCATTTCTCTCCTTTGCCCACCAGCCTAGATTTATGGACACCGGCGGGAATCAGCCACTTAGTTTTGCTAACAGTGAACCCTGTCCCCTCACTCTCCTGCAGACGGCACCATCCAACCACCCTCAATCAGCAGAGTGACCCTAACGTGGCTGCAGGTCTCATCTTGCGAGCGTCCCCAGCAATGGCCAGGACCACTCCAAAGTGACTTGTCCTGGGGAGAGGATAAGATAACCACAAACCTAAGTATGACTCTAGCCTCAGCAGTGGGCTGAGGGCAGGCATCTGGTCTGACCCAACTCAAGCCCAAGGTGTCTGAAGACTGGCCCCTTAACATCACAGAGACCAAACCCTGTCTACAACAGGCAAAGAGAGCCATTGCAGACAACTAGACCAAAGGCAAACACATATGAACCACAGTAACAGGGCACACCTCTTTGCTCTGCTAATTTATCTTCTTCGAGCCCCTCACCACCATAACCGCTGATCTTTTTATTGTCTCCATAGTTTTGCTTCTTCCAGAAAGTCATATATTTGGGATCATAAACTGCTTCAAATGGATTTTTCACTTAGTAATATGCATTTAAGTTTCCTCCATGTATTTTTATGCATTGATAGCATATTTCTTCTTAGCTCTGAGTAATATTGCATTGTCTGAATGCTCCATAGTTTACTTAACCACTCAGCCAATAACAGGGAGCATGATTACTGAATTATATGGTCCAATTATATTTAGTCTTAGAGAAAACCACCAAACTGTTTCCAAGATGACTTTCATTTTGCATTCCTACCAACGATGTATCAGAGTTCCTGTTGTTCTACATTTTTGCAAACATTTGGTGTCATCAGTGTTCCAGATTCTGGTCATTCTAACAGGTGTGTAGTGATATTTCAGTGGTGTTCTAATTTTCACTTCTCTGATGATGTGATATATGGTATATATGATATATGATGCAGAGCATCTTTTCATATGCTTATCTGTATATCTACTTTGGGCATAAAGTCCAACTTACTCACTAATTCTTTCATGGACTGTGTCTTTGATGTTGTATCTAAAAAGACGTCACTATATCTAAAGTCATCTAGGTTTTCTCTTATGTTATTTTCTATGAGTTTTACAGTTTTGCACTTTACTATTAGGTCTATGATCCACTTTTAGTTAGCTTTTGGGAAGGATGTTAGATATGTGTCTAGGTACTTTTCTCCAACCCTTCACTTTCAATATGCATGTGTCTCTAGGTCTGAAATGAGTCTTTTTTGTAAGCAGCATATAGATGTGTCTTCTTTTTATATCTATTCAGTAACCTATGTCTTTTGATTGGAGTGTTGAATCCTTTTACAAGCAAAGTATTGATCAAGTATGTACTTACAGCATTTTGCTACTTGGTTCATTGTTGGTTTTATAGTTCTTTGTTCCTTTCTTCTCTTGCTTTCTTTCCTTGTGGTTTGATGGCCTTCTTTAGTGATATGTTTGGATTCCTTTCTCTTTATTTTTTGCATATCTATTACAGGTTTTTGATTTGTAGTTACCATTATGTTTATGCATAATATTCTATGCATATAGCAGTCTATGTTAGTTTAATTGTTGCTTAAGTTTGAACCCATTCTTAAAGCACTAAATTTCTCCCTGACCCATATTTTAGGTACTTTCTCATGCCTAAATCTTTTTATTTTTTTTTTAATCCTTTGACTAATTTCTTTAGACAGAATTGATTTTGTTATTGTGCTTTACCTCTGTCCTGGTTTTATAAGTGATTCATCGACTCCTTTTATTATGATTATACATACCTGTGAAATTTTATCCTTTTGTAATTTCTTTTTTCTTGATTACAGCATTTCTTTTCCACTCAAAGAATAGCCTTTAACATTTCTTAGAAGGCTGGAGATGAATACCTTTAGCTTGTGTTTCTCT